TCTGATATTTTTTGTTACAGTTAAGACAGGATGCTGCAGATTAAAATAAATGAATGGTGCCTTCAGCCACTACTTTTTATTTAGCTGGGTACAGCATTGCATACAGTAAATTTAGGGCCCGCAGAGGTCAAGAAATTTAGCTTTTTGCTTTTAAATGGCAGCGGAACAATCATAAAAGAATGCTACTTTAGCAACGTTAATGATTAAATCAGAAATTTCTCTAGATTGTTTTAGCAGGATCTCTCTGTCTTCGTAGTTCATTTTATCAGGAAGGATCTAGGAGGGTTTCCCAGAGGGAGAGGTCAGGTTGGGACCCTATGTACTTGCTTTACTGTGAACAGTGGGATAAAAAAGTCCTTTCCAAACATAATTAAGAGCCAGGCTGCAATAAATTCTACCAGGTTAACTATAGATGCTCAACTTTATATTTATAAGCAATGGTTGTGCTTATTAAGCTCTATGATTGTTTTACAAGGCTAAGACAGTCCTCCAAATCTCATACTCTCCACTCCAAAGCTGTGGTTCTCTCCCCAATTTTTTGAACATATGGTCTAAAGAGAGATAAATGCTCTTTTATCCCTTGAAGCTGAATGTCAGTTCCCCTTTTTTAAAGCTAGTAGCACCCCTTTAAGGGTGGGTTCTGTATCACTTTGTGTGTCTGGTGTATGATTACCAGGATTAGCAGAAGGTTTGGCACTTACTGCTGTGTTGCTGTAGGAGTCAGAGTTTTCATTCTCCTCTGAGGCCTGATCCATACGGGTTTGTGGCACCTGCGTCTTTCTGACCATTCTGGCATGCATGAGACAGTCTGTGGGTGCTATGGAATTTACTGGCAGGTTCTTTAGTTGATGTGTGAACATATTTTTTCTTATATTTTTTCTTTTGTGTCAATGTCACACCGAAACAGCAGAGTGTATAGCTTACTCAGACAAAAAGGGGGTAACAGGCCTCATTCACACAGCTGTAGAGGACTGTACACTGTCAAGAAGAGTGGTATTTCTGCACTTGGGAGTCACAGTGTTTGTGTGTAGACAGCATCTTGTACAAATCAATAAAAGTCTAACAAGTGCCACGGTTGTACGCAATTAACCACACAACCGAGCAGTTGTATGCAAACACCTGTGACTACAGGGGGCACAGAAATAAGCCCCTTTTTGATAGTGTAAAGCCCTATGTGGCTGTGTGAATGAGATCTCAGTGAAGTCCAAAGTTGTACATTTTGTTCGGGAGCACTGTGGCAGAATAAAGGCGGGAGCTCTGGGAAGTTCATCTGGCTACATGCACTTTACTGTCAGACCAGGTGAACTTTTGTGGTGCAATAGTATTAATCAATGTTCACGCAACTATAATTAACTTTCGAACTTGCACAGAAAGTCTAATTTCATGAGAGAAAGTAGAAACTCTGGATGAAGCCCTCAGAATTTAGTATTCCACTAAAGACTTCCTTCTGTATAGCTGGCTGTTTGTCACACACCATTTTGTTTATCCTAGTCCATGATATGTCCATTGATGTAGTAGCATGTTATGGTCTCATACATACGACTGTAAAACGAGTCCAAGCACCAAGTGTACATCAGAAATGTATGCTGTAATACATTTTTCATTATTATTATTATAATTTAATAATAGTAATAAAATTAATAATAATAAAAAGCAGATCTTGCATTTTAGGTGCAATAATTGTTTAACGGCTAAATGCATTAGAGCACTTTAAGAGGTATTCTTTTTTTGCCTGCTGAGTGAGGGTTTGTTCACACTGAATGAAGTGGCATGCATTCTGTATTTTTTTCCAGTCCAGACAAGAAAAATGAGAAATTCATTGTTTCTAGTAGTTTGTTTATACCAATGCATTGCAACATGTGTTGGAATAAAGCCCTAAAAGGTGCATTTTGGGTGCTTAGACCTTCAATTTGCCCTCTAAGACACTGCAAGTTGAGTCTTTTCAAATGTAACATGATGCATTTTAAACGCATGTCAGTACACAAAACAAAAGCTTTGCTGTGCTACTCATTATATCAGTGTCTTCCCTGATCATTGTGCTTTCCTTTTCTAAAGTGATCGCTGCAGGGCCACCCATGGCTTAAATTTTGACCAGTTTACAGGAACCGGATGAAATTTGAGCTGAGTATGGCAACCTGAAGTCTTCCATTATTTTGCCTTTATTGCTGCCTAGGTCCCCTTTGAAGAAATTCTACTGACATGCAGTCCTGTTGACCATCCTAGAAGTAAGATAGCAAGACAGATTGTAAACCTTCCTTTCCCTATCCAAAACTAAAAGTTTTGGTAAGAATTCCAGTTTAGATCAAATGTCTCATATATATGCAAATGGTTGTTGTAAATAGCCTTTATTAAATCATACAGTATAACAACTTGCATTGGAAATAGCTTGCTGCAGTGCTTTGGGTTTCACCAGAACAGGAAGTGAGGGAAATCTCTCCAGTAAAGACCAAAACATGAATAAATCCCATTTTACGAGAAGGTATTTCTCTTTCTGTATCCTCACACTTTCTGTCTAAATATTCCTGACTGGGAAATAGTAAAAACTTGCTATAACACACTATAATCCCCCCTCCACCAAACATTACACTTGGCGCAATGCAGTCAGGCAAGTACCAGTCTCCTGGAAACCGCCAAACCAAGACACGATTGTCAGACAGAGAAACGTGATTCATCACTCCAGAGAACATGTCTCCACTTCTCTAGAGTCCAGTGGCGGCGTGCTTTACACTACTGCATCCGATGCTTTGCATTGCACTTGGTGATGTAAGGCTTGGATGCAGCTGCTTGGCCATGGAAACCCATTCCATGAAGCTCCCTATGCACTGTTGTTGTGCCAATCTAAAGGCCACAAAATGTTTGGAGGTCTCTAGCTATTGACTCTGCTGACAGTTGCCGACTTCTGTGCATTGTGTGCTTCGGCATGCGCTGACCCCTCTCTATTATTTTACGTGGCCTACCACTTCGAGGCTGAGTTGCTGTTGTTCCCAGTTGCTTCCACTTTGTTATAATACCACTAACAGTTGACCGTGGAATGTTTAGTAGCAAGGAAATTTCACAGGTGGACTTATTGCACAAGCGGCAACCTATCACGGTACCACACTTGAATTCAATGAGCTCCTGAGAGTTTACCTTTCTTTCACAAATGTTTGTAGAAGCAGTTTGCACACCTAGGTGCTTGATTTTATACCCCTGTGGCCAGGGAGGGGATCTGTACACCTGAATCCAATGATTTGGAGGCGTGTCCCAAAACTTTTGGCAATATAGTGCATCTACATACAATTTGGTTGCGGACGGGGTTGGTTTTAAACCACCCAAGGCCACTTTGTAGGTACGTAGCTTTAACCACCTACCTACTAATTATTAACACTTTGTATGATTAAAAGACAATAATATTTTATTTAGCATTTGCATGCTTACAGAGAAATTATGTTACATCAAGTAAGTAAACATGAAGCGGTCTGCATTTCTTCTACTTCTCTCGTTGTAGAAGAAATTTTTATTTAGCTCCTTTGACTTTTTTGCCACCGCGGTTTAATATGATCGTCGAGTTTGACCCCTTTAGCTATTAGAAAATAGAACGAATGTTCACAAAAACAGGTTTGTGTATGCAGGTCCACCTGTCATCTACTCTCTGTAGGCATTGTGTTACATAAAAGCTCTTTTTTCTCCCATGATCACACATCTTTCTTTGTCTTAACATCTCTATCACACAATCCCTTGTCATTTGTATATTGCTGCTACGTTCTTAACGTATCACATTATCCACCTTTAATTACCCATGCTGCCAGCTAACTCTGCTCTTCACACTGGTATAGTGTGACTCACTGAAGGTTCACACATCATAATCAGAGATCCTGTTCCATTGTCCTCAATCTCTGCTGCCCCCACCACTAGACATCACCATTGCACATCTATTTTCGCCTCACACGTCAACATATACGTCTGTACTCCCCCTCTGACTCCCCCCACTGACTATGCTTGACAGACTTCACCAGTATTACCATCCTTTCTACATATTTGTCATTCCTTGTCCTTTATGCAAATTTTCTGTCTGGACTGCACAGCATATAGTTCCTATATAGCAGGAAACAACAAATGTAACCTTCATTATGTCATTGATGCTACAGCTTACCAGCCACTCAATGATAGAATGCATTATTCACACTTAGCATCTTATGTCTGCACATTTTTACAGCAGCCGGGCCAAAAATTGCCATGATCATGAAAAATGCACAGCAATTAGGCTGTTAGTAAAAATGGAAGCTAAAAATAAAAAGTACAAATAATTTTCAGGTTGAGCTTGACGGTCACAATGCACATCTTAGGTTAGGGAGTATCAGGTCATAAACCCAACTCACACTCCAATAGAACTGTTACAGAGCTGACCAGAATGCTACAGATATAATTACAGTAGTGCTAATAATGTGAACCAAGGCGGGTTGCATCAGCACTACTTTACTACTAGCTAACAAGCACTGGACTCAATGTAAGCAACTGGTGATATTCTTCAAAGGCATCACACAGCTTGTGCGATTGGTGCCATCTGTCTGCACATGAACAGAAGACAGCGTGACATCTATTGTGTGTTAGAAAGACAGTCTGTGTCAAATATTATAGATATACAGTATGCAAAAGAAGCGTGGTATTGTGACATATCATATGTACAGAAAGACAGAGGGACAGATAGAGATGACAGCTAGCCCGATGGATGGACAGACAGATAAATAGTATTGATAGACTGTTTAAGTGATAGACATAAAGATGAATGATGATCAGATAGATAGATAGATAGATAGATAGATAGATAGATAGATAGATATGAAATAAGGAGCTTAGTCTTTTAGCTTGATTAGAATACATTGTGTGTATTGTGAAGATTACTGCGTGTATTTTAATGTCTCTTTGTAAACTGTAGGTAGCATGGCTATACATGCAATGGGATCATTACTGCATAGGTATATATGTAGACTGTATACACATAGATATTTGTATGTCCTTACCTTTTGCCTTAGGATCAAATCCATCCTTCTGCAGAGCAGAATTATTTGCAGGTTGCGGATCTCTCATTTTTTCCAACTGAAGACTGTGCTGAAATCACTTGATGCTCGGTGTTTGACTGCAAAACTGCACAGGCAGCAGCTGAACCAACACAGGTGGGGAGAGGGGAGAGCAGGAGGAGAGCTGCGGCAGTACAGTCAGTCCTCTGGAGTGTAATAATGCAGCTGCTACCCATAGATCTTCTTGAATATATCAGCCCCTCTGATACCTTAATCCTATTCATATGCACTATACTTCTTATTAGTGAACTGGAAGGAGCTGATAGTGATCAAATACCATTTGTAGAACCATACGGTCTAATAAAAGCAAGCAATTCAGGCATTGCTTGCAACAACTCTGTAGGGGTGCAATAATGAAAGCTTTCAGTTATTGAAAGGAATTGTCATTGCAAAAAGAGATTCTGCAACCTTTTGGGATAAAAACCTGTCTGTCAATAGCATATCATTTCTGTTTCTCTGAATAAAAGTAGAGTAAAGATTTTGCGGCTCATCCATTTGTTGGGTCAGAATATCACAACTGGGCCTGGTAAGCATGTGCTAGTTGTGGACAGGCAGATGTGTCCACGATACTTCCCAACTTCCTGAGATAAGAAACAAGGACACCTCCCAGCATAATGTATAGGCAATGGGCACACTCCTGTCATGTTCCCAGTTATGTGGACCATATAAGAGTTTATATGCCAAATATAATTGGTTAAACCCAGAACTATCTTTTTTCACCTTTACTTTTCCTTTTTACTAATTGTTCCAAATATCAAAGATAATTAAGAGATAAGAGGAAGATTTTAGTGCAGAATAATACTTTTGGTAGTGTAATACAACATTTATATAGATATCTGTACATCAGACCAAAAAGAGGGACAGCTGAGGACAAAAGAGGAACAGAGGGATTTTGTTCTAAATGAGGGCAGTGCCTCAAAATTAAGAACAGTCGGGAGGTATAGTGTCCACACTTGATGAGACATCTGCCTTTGTAAAGTCCACCAAAGCATAAGAAATATTGACAATTTTCATTGGATGAACCATACAAACGAAATTGCAGGAGATGAAATTCACAAGTTATGTTGATTTTATTAATCAGATATTTTAAGCTGACAGGAGTCAAAATTGGTCATAGGTGCCCACAGGAAAGTAACATTTCCCTTGAGCCACTTTGACATAAACCAACAGTTCTAATATTTTAGAGTTGTCATCTGAGCAGGAAATGAGGGAAAATCTACCAACTGAAACACCTGTTTCTATGACAACTCTCTAAGATGAGAATTCATTCACTTTGATGACATTTTCTCTTATTTCCTGTAGCGTCACCAGGGCAAGAAGTTAAGGGGAATCTCCCAAGCAGAACACAGACAGCAAAAAATCTAAACCTATCTAAAACAAAAAAAAATGTTGGCTTTACATACACTTTAAAGTACTCTAGTCATAAACCTGGAAAAACCTGATGTCAGACAGCTCGGCTGTGACTTGCCATGACCTAACTAGACCTACTGGCTTCCTAATCATCAGCAGCCATCCTGACCTTGCCTGTCCACTGATCTCCTAGCTGTGCAGCCTGCCCAGATCTGGCCTTTCTTCTGCCTTGACATTTCTGGGTTTACTCACTGTAGGAACCCCCCATTCCTCATTTCAGAGGTCACTAGGCTAATTGAAAAGGTACGTAAAACATTGGCCACTAAGCATAAATGGCATAATTCCTAAACTGGTTTATGTAAAAGTAGTTTAACAACATGTATGGTTTAAAGTCCATGTGTTTGTATTGAAAACCATAAATCAAAGATGGATGCAATGTTTAAACATTAATCCCAATAAAGATGCATAGTAATAGACATATATTAAAGCCGTCTGCTCTCAGCTTCATGCCCAGGTAGACTCATCCCCACAATGGTGGCAAGGACAGGTCGGTGAATCATCCATCACAGCGCACTACCAACCGCAGCAATACCCCAATCAGCAGGTAGCATAATATTTTCTGATGGCAGAGCTATGGTCCTGACTCAGTAGGGGCATGTTGGATCTCTGCAATGAGACTATTGCTTCCTCCCTTCTCTGCAGCTGCTGGCAGGGAACCGGCTTTTCTATTCAGGGGATTGGCTGCTGAAGAAAGAAAACAAATTGTAAGACATTGAACACCTTTTGTTTTGATGGACCAGGAATACATTTAGGTCACTGAACTGAAGGTTCAGATTTGGCTTTAATATGTAAAGTTTTGGGAGATTATCAGAACATAAGAAATTAAATGAAATTTCGGTGGTTTTGTTGGGAGAGATATTTTCAAACACACAGCTAACATCCTGTTCTTCCATTGAGCTGAAAAATATACCAGCTACCCTATTTGACTTACCATGGCAGGTTATATAAAGTAACAGACTTCCAGCACAGTTACCTAAAGACTTATTCACAGATGAGTGAGTGCACATGTGTCAATGTGTGTTATGCCGCATAATGTGCTTTGTGTTAGGGTTAGTTCACACCATATGCAGTGCGTTCCGGTCCGATACATTGTGCCTGCAGTCCAGTGCGATCAAAATGCTGCAAGCACTATTTTGATCGCACTGCACCGGACCGGACTGCAGGCACAATGTGCCTTGCGATCCGGTGCGGGCAATCGCATTGCGGCAAGAGGACGTGGCCAAGGTGCCATTCACTTCAATGGCCCGTCATGCCCCCTCCTGCTGGGCAAAAAAGTGAGCTGGCCGCAGTGCGATGCAGTGCGTTCCGGCCAGAATCGGACCGGAACGCACTGCATACGGTGCGAACTAACCCTTAAGGCAGCCCATTTATTTTAATGAGCTGCCTAATCCACTAAAATGCACCAAACGTGCATGCACTATTTTTGGCAGAACACTGCAACGCTCATTATTGCCTTGCCAAGTGTCACACTGTGCTGCAATGCAGTGCATCAGCAAGGTGTACTTGGGTGTTATTCAGAATGAATGGCACTGCATCACACCAATGCATGCAACACAACAGTGTAAATGTGCCCTTTGTTTGTCACCTTTCATTTGCTTTTGGCATATTAACTCCAGCTGTGTAATTATACTTTAATAGAAAAAAAAAAAAAAAGACTTGCATAACTATAACCTACATGTGAATAGGTTCCATTTAAAATAGCCGTATTAACTAATCTGGAATGCATTAAAAAAAGTGTTTCTTAACACTACCTTTTTCATGCACGTTACCTTACTGTTGGGACCAGAAGCACGCAGCTTAAGGTGACAACATTGCTCCTGCATTAACACACACTGAGTGAGCCTTATCATCCTATCACAGGAAGTCTTTGGAAAAGGCTATTGCAGGCAGTACCCAACACTGTTGGGATCCAATGGAATCTGCCAAAAAGTGACTGTAGCTGATAATGATAACATACTGCATAAGTGATGACAGCACTAACAGATGCAGTTAGCAGCACCTAAATCTTTGTAAAGTTTCACAATCAGCAATTTGTCCACCGATTCTCAGAAAGATGTTATTAACTCCTGGCACACCTGTTCTTTGAAGATACTTGAAAGTAAAAATGTAGACAATACCCTTTGTTCGCTGAGTATAAAATTACACAGAATTCACACAATCATACATATGCACAAATACAGTAAGCAGCAAAGAACACCATGCCCCAAAGAGAAGCTCTGAAGTGAGCTCTGTGCCAAATTATTCACGTTAAGGTCACTGGAAAGGACAGGGGGGCACGCTTTGCGTCTGGAGGAAAAGAGGTTTAACCTTTGCATACGGAAAGGATTCTTCACAGTTAGAGCTGTGAAAATGTGGAATAGACTTCCCCATGAGCTAGTTCTAGCTAGCTCAGTTAATTGTTTAAAAAAAACATCTGGATGTATTCTTAAATGCACAGAATATTACTGGATATTGAGTTCTTATGGGTATATTAAATATCAGAGATTGTTGATCCAGTGAATATCCGATTGCCTTACGGGGATCAGGAAGGAATTTTTTCCCCTGTTTGCAAATTGAACCATGCTTTATAGCTTTTTTTTGCCTTCCTCTGGATCAACAGGGGGTAGCTGTGAGCATAGCGTTCTGTTTAGGCTTTCCTTCTCTTTTATTTTACTTTTTCCGTATCTCTATAGGTTGAACTCGATGGACATGTGTCTTTTTTCAACCTGACTAACTGGAGTGTTTTTGAAAGCTTGCACCCCAAAATATATTACCAAAGATTTCACCTACATTTTGACTTTCCCGATGCTCCCTATGGCTGACACAAACCAGCTTTTTACTACTTTGAAACTAATTGACAAAGGAATAGGAAAATGGAAGGGAAAGGAGGATATACAAGAGGAAGCTGTGATCCTCATAATGTTACCTATATGCTGGTCAATAGATTTTCCCAACACACACAGGCTTCCATTGACTTGTGGACTTGTGACCTACACTCCTGACGCTGACACTCAGAAAACGGTTCTTCAGCAGATCACAGGCTAGTATGCAGGTGATTTTGCAGACATACAACCAGGGCCATTACTATAATGAGGCAGTCTGAGGAAGTTGCCTCAGATGGCATCTCATTGGGTCACATGGGGGGTGGGCGGTAACGAGTATCCGTTACCAGCACCCCCAGGTGGTGAATAGTGTAGGGACACCACTGTATACAACAACTGGTTCATGTTGCCTTTTCGAATTTGTATGTACTTTAGGGTAATAGAAATTGATCAATGAATGCATACACAGTTTTCAAAAGGTTACATAAGACATACAGTATGTACAAGCAAAACGGTTGTGAAAAATAAAAGAGATAAGAAATACAAGCCAAGTTGTTCTCTGCTTCAGGGGCTAGGAGAAATGAATGTGGAACATACCCCTAGTCATCGACCGGACCACAAGAATGTGAGCAATTATTGAATTTTAGGCATCAAACATCATACTGTTTCATCAAGTATCGTTATTTCTGTCTATCCCCAATCAGATGTGAGGGGTGATCAGTTTCAAGCTAATCTCATATCTGTAGGCATGTATAGACTTAAGAATAAAACGTGAAGCCCTCATAACTGTGCATACTTGTTTTTCTACTTTTCAAGGCCAAACATATAAATATTGGTTATTAATACATTTCCATTCTCCCGAAATTCCTATAGTATGTTTAAACTCTTTGTAAATCTATCAATGTATGATCGCTGCCTGTTTTCAAATAATCCAGCGGGGGGGGGGAGAGAAG